TCCATCCCTCTGTCCGTCCGTCCCTACCCCTGGGGACTCGCTGCTCCCCCCTGCCCAGGACGCCCCCACATCCATGGGGAGGGACATCCCACCCCTGCCCCATCCCTCGCACTGGGGGTCCCTCGGTCTCTCCATCCTTCCCTCCATCACTGAGCACCTGGGATGCCCCATCCCTCCATCCATCATCCCAGAGCATCCACATGTCCCATCCCTCCTCCCCAAGCCCCTGGGATGCCCCATCCCTCCCTGCAGGTCCCTGGGATCCAGGCAGCCTCTCTCCCACAAAACAGGAGCAGCCGGACGGCCCCTTCGCACTTTAACGAGGCTTCCACAGCTCCGGTGACAACCTCAGGCTGAGACGGTGGCAAACAGGGACAAAACAGGGAGCCCGTTTCCTCCACGGGACGCAGCTTTGCAGCAGCTTCAGCGCAAGGAAGAGACGGTTGTAACAACAACAAATCCTCAAAATAACAGCAAACTGAAAAGAAAAATCCAGGGATTTATGTGAACAAAGCGAGTGCTTCAGTCTGGGAAGAATAAAAGGCCCATCCAAGTTTCCAACGGATGGAGGAGGTCGGCGCTTTGCTGAATCCATGCTCCAGTTCCACCTTGGGAAAGAAGCTGCTGGATCCGGCCCTTCTGCCGCGGCCCTTGAGGTAGGAGCCGCTTTGGGCCCAAACTCCCCCTTTCCCCGAGCCTTCCTTGATCCCACGGGTGGGGACAAAAATGGAGAGGGACAAAACAGCAATGGGGAGAGCAAGGAGGACGGAGGGCAGCGCTTTGCCAAGGGAGGGCCCAACTTTGGCCCCAGGGATTAGCTTAAGAGGAAGACGATCAAGTTTAACAGTCCCAATATTCGTGTATTTACTAATAAATCCCCCCTTCCTGCGCCTGGCAATAGCTGTTTGGCTCCGGCCGTATCCCCACCAAAGCCCAAACTCCATGGAAAGGGTTTTGCTCCGGAAACAAGGTTACGCCTCAAGGTCACGGGAAACAGCTCACTTTATTAGGACAACACCGGGACAGGGCCCTGTCAAGCCTGGAAGTGGTAACACGAGTTCCTGCTACTCCATATTCAAGCAGGAGAGGAAGGGCTCCCTTGGGGGAGCTACAGGAGATGTAAAAAAATAATGAAATAAAAATGAGTGCATTCCTGAAAAACAAGGAGAAAAGAGGGGAAAATCTCCTTTCCATGGAAAACGCCACCCAAGGACGACGCTCAACCCCTTTGGTATCCCTGGTCGCAGCAAGGAGCGAGGTGAAGCTCACGCAACCCCTTTCTGGCTCTCGGCACAAGGGATTGGAGGAAGATGTTATCAAAAGAGTCATTAAAATTTTCCAAGTCTCTCAAAAAAAAAAAAGAAAAGAAAAAGAAAAAAACCCACAGTTCACAGAAAGACCAGGTGATTATTGAAAGATTGTCGTGTTTGGAAGTAAAATGGCAAAAAAAGGCGAGTGGCTGCGAACCGAAACGCGCGGCGAGGAAGGCGGCTCCCGGCGCGGCCGGGGCCTTTCGCGGGCAGAGCCCGGCTCACGCTGCTGGGTGGATACATGGCGTTGGAAAGAGCTAGACATTCTCCACAATTAACAATTTCTTTACTTCCATGCTGCTCGGAAAGAGTAATAGTGGATCAAAGACAGGATTATCTGTAAGCAGGTTATGCCTAAAGAGTTACTGGAGAACAGATCAAGATGTTTTTGATCTACTGCATTACAATTCCTTTTTGGACAGACGAGCGTGGTACGAAATCTGAGTCAGGAAACACGCTCGAAACGCCTGCCTGCAACCATGATGCATCTTTACTGCTACTAAAACTTTTTTCCAACCTTACTTTTGCTTTATTAAATATAAAACTCGAAACGTTCTCTCGAAGTCAGGGTGTCCTTCAGTGCAATCTGCTTTGACATAAGGCATTTTGGGGGGCAGTCATTTCAGAATGGGTTTCTGCCTTCTGGAAGAGTCAAGCAACTGTTGGGTCCTGTAGCCACCTTTGTCTTTTAATGCCCTACCATGTCAAACCTCTTCCCTTCTGGTCGCTCCTCTGCCGCCAGCACGTAGAAAAACCATCAGTGTCCGAGTAAACCAGTCCCTAAGGGGATGAGAAGAGAGCACCGAGGGATTACGCGCGGGACGCAACCAAAGACAACGTGGGCTTGAATAATGGGGAGGAAAACAGGAACTCTCACCTTTAAATCCTTCTTCGGGCATACAAACTGCAGCCGGGAGCAGGGGGAAGAGGCATCGCGTTAGAAGTCTCCTGACAGTCATTCCCAAAAAGCCCCTTTTCCGGGAGCGCCGCCGTCTCCGTTCTCTCGCTCCCCAGGCCCGCGAGCGCCCCGGCCCCCCGGGACCCCCTCACCTTGCATCACGTCGTCCATCGCCGCGTAATCCGCGATGGGTTCGTCAGCCTGGAAAACAGAGCGGGCCGGGGGTCACGGGGCTGCCGGGACGCGGCGGGAGAGGAGCTGGGAACGGGGCCCTGGCCCAAACGGCTCCGGGAGCAACGAGGGAGGAGCAGGTGCTGCCGGGATCCCGTCTCCGGAGCAAGTCCCGCTCCAAATAGGAGCACGGAGAGGGTGGCTGCTGTTTCCTGACACCGGCAACACTTCCTAGCCTAAAAACTCCTTAAAAACTCCTACTGTGAGCACTCGTGAGGGCACCCAGATGCACTGGGAGGGAGCACCCCTGGTTTAGGGCACTAAGGACACAATTAGCAGCCGAGGGCAGCTATTTAATAAAATGACGGATTCCGGGATGACTCCCAGGCTGCCGAGCGTGGCTGTGTCATCGCTCAGGATCTTCCCGTCGATCGACAGGTTCTGGTCGAAGGGGGCAACTGAAAATGCATGCATGATCTGTGCCAACACAACGAATGAGACACGCTGATTTTGTGCAGAGGGAAAGACGCCGCCAACCACACAAAAACCCCACGTGTTTAGAAGAGCAACGCGCACCTTTTGTTACCACCTGAGATTTTACACTCTATCCCCCTGCTTTCCCTTTCTGCTTGCTATTAAGTTGGTATTTTCTTCCTCGAGCCACTCTGCTCCTTCGCCCTCCCGCAAAAGAGATGGTACCAGCAGAGGCGCTGGGAACAGAGGAGCCTCACCTGGATTTTCAGTTCCTTCAACGTCTGGTTGGCAGAAACGAGCAGCGCCTTCTCCCCCCGGACCTTGCGGTGCCGCGTGCTCCGCCGGATGCCCTGTTTTTGGTACGCGACGTAGCTCTGGTGCGAGGTCTTCTGGCGCTTCGCGCCGCCGTTGGCCTAGGGAAAACCAAAAACACGAGTGTGACGCTGGGGTTTACTGCAAACAACCTCCCCCTTGCAAGAAGCCGTTTCCTAGCAATGGTGAAGGCAGCCCGAGCGCCTTTCCGAACATGCAGCTGCCGTTTGGGAGGAGGAGGATGAGCAGGAAACGCGCATCGAGGCTCTGAGTTTCTCTAGCTTGGGAAGCGCCGATTGGAAACACACCCAGGAACACAATGAGCCTGGGAAAGGGAAAACCAACGCGTGCAATAGGACTGTTACAATGAACACGCTTAAATTAAGACCCTGCAGTTTCCTCTTTTGCCTGCTGGCAATAAACAGAAGAGCGGAAACTATCCCGTCATGCCAATCCCTGGACATTCGGAGCTGGGGCTTGCAGTACCTCAGAGGACTGTGCAAAAACAAGGAACCTTGCAGTATTTTTGATCTCTACCTGGTTAAAATCTGGGTCTTGCTCCCCCTCTGGTTTGTTTTCCTCCCTTTCCTCTTCAGCTTCTGAGCTGCTCACGTTCAGCTCTGGAGCAGCGTCCTTCATTACCTGGAGTTATAAAAATCATTCTCCGTAACTAACCCGACAGCAGAAACGCAGACTGTCACATCATGGCAAACAGCTTTCAGAGGCTTCCGGGATGCCACCTTGATCAAATGAACGGAGACAAGGCAGAAAAAACACCACGGGGATCTCCCGGGCACGCTGTGCTCGGCGCAGAGCGCGCGGGCTACGGGGAACACGTGCAGCTTGCCCTGCTTCCCGCCGCATCCCGGGCGCTGGCTGCGCATCCCACACCGGCCACGGGGACATCCTGCTGCCCGCGGCGCGGGACCGGCCGCTCGGGAGGCTCTGCAGGCACAGGGAAAAGCCCCCCGGGGCCTGGACTGATTTCTTCCCCATTAGCTGGCTGCTCCTCTCCTCAACTAAGTGTGCTGCAAGAGGCAGAGCATCGAGCAAGGAGTATGAGCTGTGATTTATCCACGTAGCCCCTCTCGCAGTGGGCGGGCAGACGCCCTCCCCGTGGTTATTGATGGGTCTGAAGTTCATCGGTAAGTAAACGAAGCCTAAATAATTTACAGAAAGAGCACACGGACCCAAAAACCCTCCTCTTTCTGAGTGATGCCCCGGGCTCGGGCGCTCGGGGTCCCCGGGCCGGGCGCTGCCAGGGACACTCTGAGCTCTCCGCATCTCTGCGGAGGCTGCGCTGCCACCGCGGGACGTTCACACAGGCTCTTGGTGACTCCCTCCGCTGGCAGCTGGGCTCGCAGGGCTCGGCCGTGAATGCAGCTCTGTTTTTTTGCCAGCCCCACGTACCAGCGCGCTCCCACCCGGCACCCAGCTCCTCTTCCCGGCATTTGAAGATGGGAAGCTGCGGAGACCCGCTGGCAACTCGCTGCCCTGAAACCCTCCGGCCACCAGCGCAGACTGGAACTACCTGCCACACCACAGGGTTGTGCTTTGGCCCATCCTGGAGCCTGGCAGGGGATCCCTGTCCTTCAAAAATCAGTGCCACGAGCTGTCACTGTCACTATGTTAGTGCTATTTGTCAGCATGGAGGCTGGAGAGTTTATTTCTACCTAAGAGCAAAGTTGATGTTAGCAGCTGAGAAAGGAAATGACAAATATTGGAGGTAGAGCCTGGTAATAAAATGATGAAGACTGAAACTGCTACCACATTGCCTAAAATGCTCCAAGGAGGAAACATCCTCCTTGTGCTGATGACTGATTATGCAGAGACCACCAAAGCGTTCGCCGTGGCAAAAGGAAGCCTAGAGAAGAGCAGACTTTCCAGAGCAGATACAGCCCGAGTTTTAAGATTTGCTATTTTTGCCGTTTGGCTCCTTAACCGATGGGCACCGTTTCCCTTGCACGAAACGGAGCCAAGACCGGCGAGGGCCGCAGGAGAGCTCCGTACCTTTTTATTATCCACCACTTTATGGATGTAGATGGTTGCTTGGGTGTACTCACGCAAGTCCCGCTGCTGCTGGCATAAGAGCCCTTCTCTGCATTCTGGACAGAGTTCTGGGGAGGCACAAGGGAAAATAACTCTAATTGCTCCTCGGAGACGCTCAATACCCGGCCGTGCCCGGCGCCTCCCGCTCCAGCCCGGAGCCGCTCGAGGCACAAGGGGCACCTGCCAAAGCCGGCGTTTACCCACGGCTGCCCTCAGAGCCCGGCCTTTATCCGGAAAGGGGCATTTCCCCGGGAGTCAGCGTGGATTGGGGGAGCAGCGGGATGCACTCACCGGGCTCCGAGGCGTAGAGCGCGCTCTCGGCGTCGGCGCCGGGCGTCCTGGTGATCTTGATGACGTGATCCACCACAAACAGTTTTTGAATCCGCTCCCACTCGCTGGGCCATATTAGAGCTATACTGTGCAAAGAAACAAGAACGCGCTTTATGCCATTGAAACGCCGTGCAAACGGCGCCGAGCGGCTCAACGGCTCCCCTGTGTTCTCCTGAGGTTGCTAATGAAAGAAGAGCAGCAAAAAACGGCCCATAACCCACGTACGAGAGAACCCGGGCACCCAACACAAGGAGGAAACTGTAGCGCTGCCGTCAGGGCCCCGCTGCGCTCCGGTCGTGCCCGGCGCACGCAGCGAGGCCCCGAAGGGACGGATGGAGGAAGGAGGAGGGCACGCGTGGAAGATCTGCTGCTTCTCCTTCTGCCTCGCTGCGGGAGCAACGCTGCGGAGCGTGAACCGCAGCCCAGTGCCACTTGCAGGGTAACTCTCCAGAGAACAAGCCCCAAGGAGCGTTTCTGCAGAGGCTGGATCATTTATGGTCAGGAAGCAGCCAAGCTGAAGCGAGCTCCAGGGTCCTTCGACAAGAAGGAACTCACAGTTTGGAGTCTTCTTTGGTCATGGAAGCGTAGGTGAACATCAGACCCCCGTGGGGGCAGAGCAGGGCGCTGTTTCCCACCGAGGACACGGGGCTGCAGCGCGTCGGCCTCCTGTGGACAAGGGGAAGGAACCGTGAGCTGCTCCGTGACGTTGGCCGGGGGCTTTTGCACAGATTAAAAAAAAAATCACTAATTTGCAGGGAGCCAAGAAGGGACCGTGTGGGAGTATTAACGGGAAGCATTTCAAAAGGGGAATATTAGAGCGCTGCAGATGAGGAAGTCGGCTCCGCGTTCCTGCACGTGGCAAAATCGCTCTCCCCTCCGGAGGAGATTCCCACCACGCAGCAGCGGCTGCCGGCGGAACCGGGACGGAGCGCTGCCCTTTGCTCAGAACATTGCTCAGACAGATGAAAAATCTAAGCAGGTTACTATCTAATCCGACCATCTGGTTAAGGCAGAGTAAACAAGGAAATTCGGTTTCTTACGATGTATTACAACTGAGAGAGGCTCGGGGTGCAATGCTCCAAAACAAGCTTCCTCGTTTCCGCAACGGCAAATCCCAGCTATTTTGGCACAGCTACGCGTGGCACCGCGCAAACGTCGAGATCCAAACCCAAAATCCCCACGTGCAGCCGCCCAGAGGAATAAAGAGCACTGAAATTCTCTCTAGCCACATACCTGACAAATTTCCTCCATTCTTCCACAAAAAACTGCGATACGATATACAGCTCATCTGTCTCCTGCAGAAGAGAAATAATAAAAAGCTTATTTTAATTAACCCAACCATAGGGAAGCGGTGGCTTCTTCTGTGGTGCTCCTCTGCTTGGAGATGGCACCGTTTTTGCCATGACAACTCCATGCGAGCGCACTGTAAAAGCCAAGCAAAATAATTTGAGATCAAGCACCAAGCACTTACTAATCTCATGTTTATTGCAAAGTTAATTTAGCCCTGGATCCAATTACCCTCCGTTGGCAGCAGGAAGCGGCGTCTCCCCCGACAGCAGCTACCGCCTGCGCTCCTGCCCCTGGGCTGCTCCCCGGGGCGCTTGGGGACAAGGGGACGCGGTTTTGCACGGGGTGTGGGACCGTCCTACCTGCCCTCAGAATCCCGATGGCACTGGATTCAAACCCAGGGACGGGCACCCTCTGCTAGGGACCAGCAAGAGGCCCAAAGCCTGGCAGGGAGACCCTTGGCTTTTGGAGGGAAACCCTTGGCTTTTGGAGAGACCCTTGTGCTTCGAGCTGACCCACGGTGATGGGCTTCAGCTTTTCCTCACTCACTTCAACCGCAAACAGGTGGATTTTGACCCAAAAGTCCTACGTAGGATTTCCCGGCTCTCCTTTGGAGGCCGATCATGGGGCATTTTCCCTCCGGTCCTTCGCGGGGCTCCTGGTTCAGGGATGCAGACCGGTGTCACCCTTAGGATTTATTCCCACCGGAGCTGCCCGTGGCCCCGTGCAGGCTCCCATCGCAGCAGGCGGCTCGTGGGTGCGGGAGACGCTCGGCACCACCTCGGAATCCATCACGAAGGAGCCGGGCAGCAGCTCGTGCCGCTTGTCCCGCAGGGCCGCGCGCGGTGGGGACAGACCCGCGCTGCACGGTCACCTCTCACGCGCCCGTCCTCCTCATTCGGTGCCAGAGCCCCGAGCTCAGGTCACGGAGATACAAGCTGGGCTGGTGGCCAAGATCTGGGAAGGACCTGCCAGCAGGCTTGGGGCCAGGGGAAAGGGATAACTCTCTCAGCAAGCGAAGCCTGACCTGCAGCCATAGAAGTGAGGCTCAAAACCCACTTGCAGGTGCAAAAGGCAGCAGCCCCCGAGCTCTTTGCTCTGCTGGGAGCAGAAGGGGACACTGGAGAGGCCGGGACTTACATGGATTATGTCCTACGTGGCCAGCCGCCGCGGTGGAAAGCCCTCTCCACCAGAGGAGCACTTCCAGGGGTGCATACGAGCAGAGTACAAATAATGTCTCTGCTTACCTCACTTCTGGTCCAGCAACGGCAACGTTGGCACACGAGTGGTTCTCAGGTATCTTCGAGAGGGCCTTAAGCTCATGGGGGAACCAGCAACGCGGCACAGACGTGACCAAGCGCCGGAGCGGCCACGGAGCGTGGCGGCTCCTACCTGAGCAAGCCCACGGCGTGGGGCAATATACAGCCCGGAGGGCCACCAGTACAGGAGATAAAGTTCTTTCTCCAGCTAAGATATGCGGGAACTTAGTGCTTATCCTTCATCTGCAGAACTAAAGTCACTTATTGAACCGCCCAAGGAAGGGTCTGTTAAGGTTTATAGTACCTTTGTCTGCACAGCTACTGCATCTAGTGCTGACACGACAAACTGCTGGTCCCGAGAGCACAGAAAACTGTCCCCAAATCCCGTGTCATTCCCCTCGTCTTCCCCATCCCCATACCTGAGGCCAGCTGCCGAGGCAAGGCCTGCATTTATCATGGAACAGGTTCTGGAGCGACGTCTTCTGCTCAGTAGCCATCATCTTATGCAGAGCTTCATTCTCCTCTCCTTCTCGCTCCAAAATCTGCACAAAACAGTTAGCATAGAGGGTCCTGCTGCAGTTCACAGCTGGCATTCACAGGTCACATTGCCACTTTTCCACTTTTTGCATTAGAAAATACAACCAAATACCCAGAAATACGACCACGTATTCACGCTTAACAAAAGGGTAACATTATTTGGCACTTCGATACCTTGCACTGGGAACAGCACTCTTTGTTACTCGGGAATTCGGGGGCCTTTGGAAAATATTGCTTGAGTTTCCTCCAGGCTTCTTTCGAAACCACCCTCCTTTCGTTTTCCGATATGCACAGGTCACCTGCACGGAGAGAGCCGGGAGAAGAGCTTGGCTCCTGCCACGCTCAGCAGCGTTTTGCAGCACTAACTAGATTTAAGAGATTACAGGGAATAAACGTGGGGGAAGATAGTCACGCACTTAGCAGCCAGGACTGTGTCAGCAAAAAGAGCACAACTAATACAGAAAGTCACCTTCGACTTATTTATCACTTCCTTGTTTAGATAGGAAAAAACATGACTTTGATTTGCTGCAAACACCCTTTAAATTTAGAAGCCCGGGAACCTGAGTGGCGGATCCAAACACAAACCAAGCGGAGGCTACGAAAGGGGCATGGGTTTTTATAGCCCAAGTTGCTCGGGGAGGTGGGAGGCAGAAGACGTTGCTGGAAGGAGCCTTTTCTCCCCATCCTGTGGCAGCTCTTTAATGCTCCAGCATCTCCCGAGCCCCGCGGCCCCGGCCGCTCGGCTCCTTCCAGCCACGGCTGGATTCCTGCCAAGCCCCGAGCGAAAAAATAGCAACGCTCCCCTGCTGCTTTTATTCCACCCGGCAAAGGTCGGGCCGGACCGCTCGGAAGCGGCGCTGAGCCGCGCGCTCTCCATCATCCGTGCCCGCGCGGCCCCGGCTTTGCCATCCGAGGAGGCAGGAGCAGGCGGCTTTCCAGAGGCAAGGAGGAAAACGAGCCCGCTGGAGCGAGCGCCTCGGCACCGCGTGATTAACGCGAGCGGGCTAATACGCTGCCGAGTGGAAGAGGTGGGAAAACCGGAGCAGGAACGCGCGGGGAACCAGCGCGTTGCCATCTGGAAGGAGGTGACCGTTGTCTCCTCCCGCCTTCGCTCTCTGGGCACGGACATCAAAGACGCTTTAACTTGGCACTTGGGAGGAAAAAAATATATATGTGTTTGGCGAGGTCAGGCAGCTATTGGAGAGCAGAATAGTAAAATAGAATCCCAGCAAAAGATGCAAGAGGACTTGGTAAGGGAACGCCCGGATGGTGTTCCTGGATGCGAGCCAGACCTCAGCGATAAAGCGCTGCGTTTTCCAGAAAATACCATTAAGGCTGTAACTTCCTCCACAGCAACATTCAGGCAGTATTACAGAAACTCTGGATTTGCCAATACCCACCATGGGAAAAATCTTGCACCTTTTGTGTGTTTAAAATGTTGTTTTGCACGAGCAGCTGGAGGCTGGTGGAGGATGGCAAAGTCTGACCTCCCAGTGGCCTCTTTATTTAGTATAATTTATTCCGATGGGAGCCGAAGTAACAGATCAACTAGCAGTTTACCAGTTTAACATGTCCAGGGGCCCTTTGGCCTCCTTCTACGCTGCTTTTGCCTGGCTGCGTTGGGTGTTTCACCGCTGTCCCTGTGGTTTTACTGAGCAGCAGCTTTGTGGCACTGGGAGGTACAGCATGAAAAGCAGCCGGCGTCACAACCGCGCGCTCCCTTTTCCACTGGGGCTTTATCAGCACCCTGTTACGGCCTTCACTATCTTCAAGGACAGGCAGCGGGTGCCAAACTACCCCGTGGTTCTTCCTTACTAGGAACCGGGACGGCGCTGCAGCGTCCTGGCAGAGCCGCCCACGGAGACGGAGGCCCCGGAACGGACAGGGCCAGCAAAGAGCCAATTAACAGAACCATTAACAGCAGGTCAGCACCTTACGGAAACAGACACCGGCTCAGGAAACCGATATCCCGGGAGAACTGGCTGCTCCCAGTGAAGTTGGCGCTGCTGCAGTTGTCAGGCAGGTGCTTCTTTTTCCTTTTTGCTTTTCCAGACTATCCTGACCATTCCAGAGTTTTCAAGGGGCTGTAAACCTGCGCTCCCCTCGCTCCATCGTGGCACTTTGCTGGAGGACGAGACGCAGCCCTGCTCCTGCCTGCCCTGGTCCCTGTCTACACTCAACGCCCTTCTCGCTACCTCGGGGGATTTGGCTTGCAGCACAGCAGCACGTGTACCAATAAAAGCTCAAGGTGAACGTTTTGAGGTGCAAATGAGACAAGCACACTCCATGTGCACATATTTGTGTTGGTCTGAAGTTCAGAGGCCGCTTAAGCTGCTGCTCAAGTTGAGCAGAAGGAAGGCAGCAGCTCAGCGCCTTGAGCAGCAGGCAACACCGCACACGTTCAGTTCCAGCCCCCGGAGACTTACCATGTGGGCAAACAATGTCTTCATTAAAATTTAACTCCTCTTCCTCTTCTCTTTTCTCTTCGTTTGATTCGTCTAATTAAAAGGAAAAAAAAAAAAGAATAAGAGCATAGCACGGCACTCCTCTCTCAAGGAAATTTTAACATCTTTGGAGGGAAGAAACCCATCATTTCCCCTCAAATTGCTGCAAACGCTCTCAACCCAAGGGAGGCTTCGGAAGCAGAGTGTTCTTGAATGCATTTGCCCGAGGCCGGCGCGGGACCGTGGGCCACGCAGGAGCCCTTTGAAGCATGTGGAGCGTGAGGCCAAGCTTTGTGCAGTTACAAAGGATGCATTTGTTCCGGCTCAAACACCACGGGGGGCTGCTGCTCCCAAAGATTTCTGGATCGGAGTTGGTTGAAACATAACTCTAGGTACGAGCGGAGGGAGCAGAAACCTCGCTGGCAAAATATTAGTTGGCTCTTTGGCTTGAGGGTACTAATCTAAAACAGATGCTCCCTTTGTAGTTTCAGGAAGGGATCACGTGCACAAGCCAAGACCTACCAGGCTGCTGGGAAGAGCTGTTGGGAAAACCCGGGAACGAGCCCGGGCTTCCCTCGCTGCAAAGCGGCTCGGACCGAGTGGCCCCGGAAAGCAGCACAAGTCACTTAATGAGAGAAGGGAGTGCGGGCTCTGCGCCCTCCCTACGGGTTTACAGCAGAGAACTGGACGAGCTGCACATCGTTAGCAATAATTAACAGCAGTGCAGCTGCAGAGCTGCTCAAGGGGGCAGCAGGGACTCATATGGGAGGGTAAAGGAGCAGAGCTCGGTCCCCTCTGGTCGCAGCGGCTCTTCCCCGTGTTTCACCACCATGAGCGCACACGGACTGAGTCACTGCGCCGGGGATCCTGCCAGGGCTCTCGCAGGCCTCGCATTCACTTGTAAATAATGGTTAGAAAACCTCAGCTCCAGGGGCAGAAGCGCCGGCCGTTCCACTGGAGCGCCGTAAACCGGCCCCTTCCAAACCCCGTGCCGCAATCCCGGGAGCTGCGACCGCTTCTGAGGCCTGGGCCACCACGGAGGAATCATCCGTGGGACAGAAACTGAGCTACTGATGCAGAAAAGTGCCCTTTTCCCAAGGAAAGCCACAACAGAGCGACCAGGCTGCATGAGCAGTGCCAGCGTTGAGATATTTTCATGCAATCTGCGGTGTGCGGTGTTGCTCTTGGAGACATCAAACCCGAGATCAAGGCAATCAGCTGATCAGCTCCCCTTTCACTCAAACCAGCTTCTTGCCCTCAGTTCTGCAACAAAGAGCTTGAAGAAACCCCCAATTTTCAAAGGTTTAAAAAGCAGCAGGCAAATAAAAGAAACCACAGATTCTCAAACCCATGATACAAGCAGGGAAGAGAATCCAAGTCATGATTTTTTTTTGAAACTGTGTTTTGCCAGTGCTGCCTTGCCAGCTGTGCTCGCTCTCACCACTAAGCCTTTGCAAAAAAACATCTTAATTCCTTTGCCCAGGGTAATTTTGCTGTTTCTTCCTCCCCTGCGCTCTCCTATTCAGGTGGAATTAGGATGCAAGCAGCACGTGGCTGGGCGGTTATTTGGCACAGCTCTGCAAGCCTGCTTATTTCCTCATCTTATTCTCTGGATGCTGAGGCCATCCAGCAGTTTTGAAGCTTATCAGAGGAAAAGCTCCCCAAATGAAGGCTGTGCTCCCTCCCTGTTCATGCAGCGGGAGCAAAACAGCACACGCAAGAACACCTGATGTGTCTTTTTGTCAGGCAGCATCGGCCTCAGGCTGGTGGATCCCTACAGCAAAACAGCTACCTTTGTTTTGTGCATTCCCGTTCACTTTCCCGTTGCTGGGCTCCGCATCCTCGTCTTGCTCGTTCAACTGCTCCAGGGCCAGCTGACGCCAGCTCCGCAGGGACGCTTTTCCGACCCAAAACCCGTCATTCCTGCGTGCAAAGAACAGTGTTGGCACCACGAATCAGTCTGCTCTCCCTCTGAGCCTGACTGGTCTTTCAAAGAAAGCTATTTAAGCATCGTTGGCGCTGCTCTGACAACATTTGAAAGCGTCGGTGCTTACGTACCCCTTTACGGTTATTTTCAGCAAGTTTGTAACAGTTTTGTAGTCTTCATTTAACTGGTTTTTCAGCCGCAGTATTCGACATCTTTCTACCACGCAGTCCTTGCAAAGTGCTTTAACTGGGGTGCAGAGGAAAAGAGAAGGGGAAAAACAACACTATTACTACGGTGCACGTGGCTGAGCTTTCCCTGAGTTTGAAAGGCCTTAGTTTGTCAGACGAGCGCGATGGAAGTACCAGCTATCCCACCCCAGGAGGAGAGGCTGCACGTGTAGGAAAGCTGCCTGTTTTCCTGCTGGATCGGGTCACGTTTAAAGCTTAATAGCTGTGAAATGTCTCAGCTGAGGGGTGATCTGTTCCGCTGGCTCCGCTCATCCTGACACTTCCCAATGATAGCTGTGAGGTCGGACCGGCATGCACGGTGCCAAAGGCAGGAGGATTTGGGTCCGTACAAGGGCCATCGTTCTGCTCCCGGGCACGTGTCTGCAGCAGGAAGATGCTGCAGGGCCACCTTCAAATGGCAGGTGAAAGCTCCTGCCTTCCTGCACGCCGAGATGAGGGGGGATCCTCTCCGCTCAGCGGCTCCCGCGGCGGCACTGGGCCACCTGAACCCAGAAAAACGTCATTCTCCAAAGGTGTCCCCGACCCAGAGGAATGGAAGGCCGACAGCTGGGAATGGGGTTGGTCAGGGAGCAACAGGAAGCAGAGGGTCACGTCCAGGAGCTGCTGGGCAGCGTCAGCCCTTCCCCTCGCAGCCACCCTCCGAGGGACCCGCGGGCCACCTTCCAGGTGACTAATGCACGCTGGCCTGTGCCACAAGTGCTGCCTGCGTCACCGCACTTGCCTTTCTTCCCTGCAAGCTCCTAGCGGGAGCTGAGCTAATTTGGGCTCCGTGGGAGTCACTGAGCTCCCTTATAAAGGGAGCTAAGCCCGGGACTTGGCTAAGGGAAGCCCAGCCACTGCAGAGGCTTACCCCAAAACCCAAACGCGGGGCAGATGTGTGCACACAAGCACGTGCTACCGTGTACGCGTTTCCGTAGCGTGGCCCAAATTGCCTCGATCTAGAGTTGGAAAACAGCGAGGGCTTTTCTTGTCCAGCACAGACCTGCACCGTTCCAGAGCACACGCTGTTTGCAAGAGGCAGAATGGATCCGCACACGAAATGCACCGGAGCTGCTGGTGCTGCAGGCATGGAAAATTGTCCCTTTGCTTTGGAGACCTTGGGGGTTTCTGTGCTGTTTGGAAGCAGGAGCTTCCTAAGCCCCTCCAGATACGCCCTTCTTCAGCCTAAACGCCCTTCTCACGAGTGACTCCATGCACAGCTGCTTCCAAACGGAGCAGATTTCAGGTCTGAAGCAGCCCTTCCAATCAGACTAATCCTATTTGTTTGGATGCTAATGCAATCGAGCAATATAAAAAAAAATTAACCCAGGGCAGCAGAGAAGTTAAATGCAGAGCTAAAGCTATACTAAAATAATAAAGGATGGCCCTGCAAGAGGCTGGGACTAGAAAAAGGCTGTAGCACACGTTTAGCACACAAAAACATGATTCAGAAGGGCAGATTTCTGCGAATCTTGCTAGCCGGACCTTACCATTGAGCCGGGGTCCCCCGCCGTATCGCCTGTAGAAGAAGTCAGCCACATACTCCGATATCCTCTTCATAATTGATATTTTATCGGGATGGAGCTTCCCGTGGGAACACAGGCAGGCTGTGTTATCTATAGGTTTCGGAGGAGTGGACTCATCCAGCCACTTCTGCAGCCACTCGAGGGAGATGAAGTCGTACGCGGAGCCTGGAAGGGAAAGACATGGAGAGAAACACACCCGTGTGTGTCAGTCCGCGACGCGGCAGATGGCATTTTGTAATTACTCTGATATTCAACGACACTTTTAAGAATTAATAGGCTCTATCGGTGTTGATTACAACTCTGCAGCACAAGTTTCCAAACATGCAACGCGGCTTCCCCGTCCAACCGTCCTCGCGGCGCGGCAGGTTTCTAGCACGGCGGCGCTTGCAACAGAAGCTACGTGAAGTTAGAGCAATCGATCACTTAATATTCAAGCCACCCACACGAAATGATGCAGAAAAGGGCACGTTTTCGGGCTGCAAAACCTTGAGGGGCTTAGGGGGGGACTGCTCAAAGCCAGGGCAGAAGCCCGTCAAGTGACCAAGGCAATATTCAAGGTACGCTCAAAATTAAGTGAAAAGCTCTTTGCAAAACCCAGCAACCTCTTCAGGGTAGATGTAAAAAGAAAAGAGAACAAGGAAAAGGAAAAAAGAAATCACAGCACAGTTATAAGACCAGTATTCTTCTCGTGACTCAAATTTAAGGTGTTTTTCTGGGCTATTCTTACAGATTTGGGTGAAAGACACTCCCACGTTAAGAGTTTACAGTGCAAACAGTAACACATTTGGATTTCTTAGTGTTTTGAGGACTTTTTGAAAGGGGGCAGTAAAGCCTCCCATGCTGATTAAAGAAAAACCTCGCATAAAGCCAAGGTTTGGGAGCAGCTCAGAAATGGGTCAGCATCTGTGTGAGCAGCGAGGGAGCCTCGCACGGAGCCTCTACGAACTCCCACCTCGACACCGAGACCCACGGCCGATTCTTACACCCAAAGAACGAGTGTGGAAAGGGAGAATTGCACATTTTGAAGCTGCTGGGGGACTGAATGGAAACAGAGCTGCAGCAAAGCAGCTCATCTCAGCGCTTTTGCCATTAATGGCAATCGCCCGAGCTCCTAGATAGGCTCGTAATTACACACTGAGAACCAGCAGCAGCGTGAGAACAAAGTAGCTTTCTTTTAGCACACCAAGTCTAGCAAACACTCCAGCTTCTAAAAGACGGCTGGAAATGAGCAGGAGGGCCAGGAAATTAAACACATTTTTGCTGCTGAGAGGAAAGGGATCTGCCATTAGTTACATTTATCAGAAGGAAATGAAATTAATGTTTCGCGCACAGCGGCAACAGAGGAGCGCCAGCAGAATAGTTTGTCCTCCGACGTGACCCGGGTTTTTGCAAGGCCGGGGCTCGTGCTCTCCCCTCCGCGGAGGTTTCGGCTTGCGCAACGGCACGGCCTTGCGCAGCCGCGACCCCCGGGGAGCTGCAACGCCGTCCAAAACGCACCGCGGCTTTGGACGGGGCTGCTGCTCCAGGGGGAGGTTTCTCGGCGCAAACCTGGCGCGGGAGACGTCGGCCCAGCTGCACGGGCCGTCCCAAGCCCCTCGGGGAGCAACCCAGAGGCAGCCCCGGGGGGACACCCAGTTGCACGAAGGAGCAGCCAAGCCCTAGAGCAGGGGCACGGAGCGGGCGCTGGCACCCAAAAACCGGGGCACAGGAGCAGGAGACTGTCTGCATCTGTGCTCCAAAACACGCCTCGCTAAGGTTCATTCCTTCACCGTGTTGGAAATGCCAAGGGAAAGATTATCCTGCTTGGGGTAAGGGAAAAACAAACCCCAGAAAACGAGCTGCACTTACTGCTCCTGCTCTCTGAGGGTGACTCATGGTGGATTCAACCCTCCACCGCGTCGTGGATTTACAGGTGACATTTTAACAGTGCTCAGGCTTGCAGGACTCCGCAAGAGCAGCCGTGACACCCTTTACTTGTTAATTAAGCGTTGCTGTTCTCAAAGGCAGCTTCATTAACTGAGCGGGGGGACGCTCACAAACCAGCTCAGAAAGCCAAGGGGCTACCTGGCTACTCGAACCTCAATTCTGGTTCCCAAGTCTCCTGGAGAGGTGGAGCAAGCGCCCGCATGTGGGTTTTGAGGGAGACCAGGGGGAGAAAGGCAGGGAGGTATCAACACCCGGGTGCTCAGACACAGGGAGATGATGAAACCCAGGGAATTAGAAGGATTAACCACGCTAAGCTGCTGCTCACGGGGAGCACAAAGCTTAGACCTGGGGCTCCGAAGCAGTGGTAGGGACAAAACAGTCTTCTGCTGGAGGCCAGGTGTTCTCATAGCCAGGTACCTCCTGTTTCATTAGTTTAAAAGCACCAAAACTTGGCAATTTGAGACCGCCTGGGTATTCTGCCTCGATGCTACTAAGGGGTAATGGGCCGAGCTGCTCATGGCACAGGAGAAAGCAGGTGCAGGGAATGGAAGCACACAGGACCCTGCCTGGCAAGGAAGGAGCAAGAGGGAATTAGTGATGCCAGAGGCCATCAGAACGGGCAAAAATAAATACATAAAAGGAGAAAAATAGGTTAAGGCAGATGAGCAAGCAAGGGAAAGCAAATTCTACGTGGACACAGAGCAAGAGCAGCCAGCGAGCGCCTTCCCCTTCCCGGTGAGGGCTGCAGAGAAGCGTTCAGGCCACAGAACCAAGCTGCGGATCGGTTACAAAACATTACGGAGCTTAACAAAGGTCTACTACAAAATGCTACCAGAATATCTTACAGACCAGCTTCAGCAGGTAACCTTTTGTAGAGCTCCTTCACCTCTTCGTGCTTGATTTTGCCCCGGGCCACGCTCTGCTTGCGCATCTCCGCCATCTCGTTGCACCACTCCTCAAACTTGCAGTTGTCGCGCTCGACCAGCTCCTGCAGGAAAGCTGCGGGGAGGGAAGAGCAGAGGGGTCACCACGAGGAAAAGTCCCTCCCGTGAGCAGTTATCTGGGGATAACGAGCAAGCCCAAGTATTTCCTCACACCCTAATGGTCGTGTGTGGCCTGGATGCTGCTTCCCTCTTATTTATGGTGGCGCCGATGCCAACGCGGGCGACTAAATGCAACGGAGGGGCTGCCAGCCCGGGCACAGCCACCTCCTCCTCAGCCCTCCTTCCATTTCTCTGCCTCCTGCCAGCAGCTCCTCGGCACCGAGGCCAAAAAATCCATCGCGCCGGGGGCGGAAACGGCCTCTGGATGCGGCCGCTCGCCGGCCACGAGGCGCCTCCCCGAGGGCGCGTGGCAAAACGCCCCCACGAGACCACGGATAAGCCAGGGCAGAGCCTCGAGGCGACGGGAAGGTGAGCGGGACAGCAGCTTTTGCTGTCAGCAGCGGAAATAAAAAAATAGATAAAGCACTTCCCTTGCAGGGATGGGGTAACGGAGGGGGAGCCCGCTGCTTATCCGGAGTTTTTTCCGATGCAACTTTAAACTATTTTGCAGAGCTAAAATGTTTTGGAAAGGTTAACTCCTAGGAACCACAGAGCAGCTCTCTGGGGAGAATATATTAAAAGCAGAGATCAGCCTGCTCCATTCACCCTCGATGCCAAGGGCTGGGGACCCCGGGCTCCGCTCGCCGCTGTCCCCGCTCCCGAGCGGAGGCGGCCGCGCGCGCCCCGCGGCCCTGGCCCGCGGCCATGTGAAACAAAGGCCACGGAAGGCAGGGCTGCTCGGGAATTCGGAGCGGCCCGGCCGAGCATTGTTTCAGGCACGGGGGTGGGAGAGCGCAGGGAAAGCGCCGGCCCCGGAGGCCGGGATCAGCGGCGTTCCCAGGGCTCCAGGGCGGGCTCGGCAGGCAGGGGGGCTGCAGAAGGTTTGACGCTGGGATTTGGAGAGCTCTGCAATTACCAGCGCCCTCACCCTCCTCTTCCCCAGAACCCAAACCCAACACTGACAAAAGGCTCCCCACAAAAGGGAAAGCAAAATCTCTGTGGTCCCTGTTTTCGAGGGAAGGCCGGAGGGTGGAACACACCTCCATCCCTACTAGCTAAGGCCTAATTAATGTTTCTAATCATGTAGCACGCAAATGCTAAGCGTCATTAAATCCACAGGCCAAACCTACAGGGATTTCAACCACCCCCAGTCTTTCGAAGGCAAGACACGAATGCGCAAGTACAATACTCGTGTAAGGACTTGCATCCTCGTATTTCTATGCCACTTATTCTCAGGATGGCAAAGATTAAGTACTTGCAAAAGAAACATGACATCTGTCAGGCTTATGCACACGCCGTACGGTACATGTGCTGCTCATGACATTTAACCACGCTCTTCTCCTTCGCCAGGTACCGGAGGGGGAACCTGCCTGTGAATCCTGTTATTCCAGCCGCGCTCAACGCCGGCAGCGGGAGATTCTCCAGATGCTGCTCCCTGCGGGATCACCTCCTCCTAACCCCTTCCCACCTTGTGTCTTTGGTAAAATGGTGAGGCCTGAGCGGGCACAGGGCTGGTATTAGCCTGGTTAATGTTATTCCAGTGCTGGGAAAGCCCAGGGGGCTGCAGCGCAGAGGACCCAGCGTCTGACCCCGAGTCGCTTTGGGGGCTCCGGCCGTTTGCAGCCGGTTCCCGGCCGGCCGGAGCACCCCAAGACCAGACGGAGAGGCCGGGAGCACCAAGCTCCTTACCTGGCACTTGCACCGCGGGCGCCTTCTCGCGGGTCTGCAGCCTGTACACCAGCATGTAGGCGTTGCGGGAGCAGTGCGTCCCCTTCCCGCACTTGGGCTTGCGGCTCTGCGATTTGGAGGGCTCCGCTGCAGCACAGAAGGCAAAGAGCAGTAAACACACACGGCTCCCTAGTGGCTCGCATTGACGGGCCAAGTTTGCCATCTAGCTTCCCTCGCGCCGCTCTGCCTCCCTCGGCAGAGCCCCACATCCCTGGAAAACGCCGTCCACGCAGGACCCGAATCCCTCGGGCGTTGCTGGGGCAATTCAGAGGCACCGAGTTTGGATCCTGCTCTGAAGTGCCCTCTAAGAGGGCCTTTCTACTCCAAGTCAAGCCCAAAGGAGCCTTTGCAAAGACGTCCTTTCTTCCCTCTGCCTCCTGGCCTCATTCGTGTTGGTGTCTTGACACTAAAGAACAGAGTCAAATCCTCAGGAGGGGGAAAAAAATACATTTACACACGACTGGGTAAGTAAAAAATATGCACCAGTCTATCGGGCAATAAAACCTCTGGGAACTGAAAGCCATGGAAATGGTCACTCCAGAGCATCCGATCCCGATGCGGGCTTTCACCGGGATGAAGAATGTGGCCATATAATACATACATTGTGGGAAAGGGCCGCCGTTTCCAGACAGACTGTCAGGCAAAGAAAGAAACCTGACCAGAATGCTTATCTACAGCTGCAGCTTCAAAAACCAAACGATCCTTTATTTTATTTTTTTAAAAGAGACAAGCCTCTATTGCTTAAATACTTAACAGAACAAGAGATGGAAGAAAAAAAATTAAAAAAAGATTTTTTTTTTGTATTTAAATTCTGGAAGAAACACTCATGTACATTCCCCACCAGGGAATTTCCTGGACGGATTTTATTTTCAGTTTCTCCAGATATTTAAAAATTGTTCCTATCTGCACAGCCAGACTTCAGGACTCTCCCCACAGCAGCCCCCTGCTTTACACTACCAAATTTCTCACCTTACTACCTGCATTTGCAACCAAACTCTCTCAAACTCCAGTTTTGCTCAGAATAGGCAAATAATTTTACAACTCCAGTATTTTGCTTAGCGCTTTCTATATTTCAGCTTGCACCCTACAGACACTTTACTTAACACTCTTAAAGCAGGTTTGTATTTCAGCGAGAATACTTACTCGTGCTAAAGCACAAGCCTGTACCAGATTGCTTGCCCCTTAATTTGTACACTGGGTAACTCCAGAAACTGAAAAGAAAGGCTAAGAAGCCTTTATTTCCTTTCAGGGCTATTTTTCTGTCTTACACCACTAGATGTCTGGCCAGCTTCACAATCTAGCTGCGAGTCAGTAGTAAGTCAAGCATTAACAGAACAATGTCGCTGCTCTGGTGGGAGCCTGCGTTTATGCAAGTCGTGACAAAACCCAAAAGTTGATGAGGAAAATAGCTGAAAATTAAGTGGCATCGTGCAGATACATGCAGGGCAGCAAGCAGGGGAGGCAGCGAGCGCCCATGTTCGCTTAGGGGCGCGCTCAGGCTGGCCAGATTTCAAAACAAACTAAGGGAACCGATAAATCTGCCTTTTCTCTAAGCTGCATTACTTACAGATGCTAGAAAGTCAACATTTTGGGAAAGCCAACTATTGTTGTTGGAGACAGAGCAAAGCGTGTGTGTCCCGGTGGAGTAAAGTTTCTGGGAAGGGATTTACTTGCATTTTAAGCAAGATTTCTGGCATTAGGTTCCCCGTTCCCTGATCCTGCGAAGCGTTCTGTACCGACAGGCAAACTGCAAATCCAGACATTTAAACTGTCAATTTAAAAGCAGACAGCTCCTGTATATTGACTGCAGCCTGAGAAACCAGCACTTGCTTCAGTCTAAGCTCCCCAGCAAGTACAGGGAATCCAGACCCAAACTGCCCAGGTAAGAGACAGGCAGAGCTGTCTGGAGCAGCAGGATGGGGCCCAAGGCAAACCAGCAGCAGTAGAAAGGAAGGATAAGAAAAGTAAAAGCAAAAACACAATGTAAAAAGGCAATTTTGGCCTCCAATGTGTGCTTTTGATGGAGGTTTTTATCAAGGCGTTTCCACTGCCTCCTAAAAAGTGTAAGGGGAGACATTACAGTGGAAATAAAAACATACCACGTTAAGGAAACTGAAAGCAACTCCGTTATCTGTTCCTAAGGCCTCCTTTGCACGCTGGCCAAGGAAGCAGCAGCTTGCCTGCATTACTCTGATAGGCAACTGCTGCGTGGGTTATCAGCGTGTTATCTGCCAGGAGGCAAAGCAAGAGAAAAACTAGAGAAGAGGAAATGATCACGAGGTGTGCACAAACACTCGAGTAAGAGCTGCAGTGAAGAAAATCTGGCTGCAATTAACAGAACTGCAGAGTTTCTTGTGTTGCTTTAGGAGGTGAAATCACACGTAGGAGCAGTTTGTTTTTTAAGTGTATCCGGCCCTCCATGTACTCAGCCTCCATGTTTTTTGGTGAAAAGAGTTATTTTAAAAGGGCACTCACAACTTAAAGGTTTTACCTAGATCTTCCTCAATCCCCAACTGCAATTTCTTCCCCTCCATCTTTTCTATGTCTTCATCGTTGAACTTGTACCACTCGCCCGTCTGCGGATCCTTTACGTGCGCGATGTAGTGCCCGGAGTAGGCGCTCACACCTCTGTGTATGAGGACTGCACTAAGTTCATACACGTAGACACCATCTGAAAGGAAAGCAGCAGTTATTCAGCCCCCTGGGCAAAGCAGGACACATCTTTCCTACTGCTTGATGCTTTTGCAAGGCGGTGAACAAGGACTGCATGTGAACTCACCTCTCCAAACCCGCTGCAGCTTTATTCAAAGCTCCTACCCTTCCCAACACGTTAAGTGTTGCAGCACTTGCCATTTTTTGGTTTGAAATGCAGCTTCAAACCACTCTTGAGATTCTTTTCAGCCAAAAAGCGGATTCAGACAAGATGCCACCACGAGCAAGCACGGCACCATGAGCGAGCACATAGTGCACAACTCACTTTTTTGTTCCATGAAAGGCTCCATGTCGAGCAGCTCCGAGAAGCCGATGTAGGTGTTCAGCTTCTTCTTATGGCCAGTTTGTCTGCGTGAGAACAAGTGACCAAACTTCAGCAAGCTACAGGCATCAGGGGACAATAACAGTGGTTCACATCTCAAAATAACTTCCCCGAAACCCACCGAGCAACGCAAGAAAAGCCAAATAAATGTGTTGCAATTGTCAAGATCTAAAGGCAGTGAGGAAAGCGTAGAGCAGAGGTCTTTCCACAGAGCTCCCAAGCAATCCAAGGTGCTCCTGCTTTCCCAGCACGTGCGGGCGGGCAGGGAAGGGCTCACCTGTCGAACACAAAGCGCATCAGCTGCAGGTTGAGCGTGCACGGAAGGCTGAGCAGCCTGATCTTCCTCGTGGCATTCTGCTTGCTTTGACACGTCTCGCAGAAGTAGCGGTTGTCCCCCTCTAGTTTTTCTTCCTGACCAGGAGGCAAAAAGAAAAGCCTTGAGAACAAGTTCCCACCCAAGTCAGCCACTACCAACTATTTGCTAGGTAGAGATTTAACAGCACTGATTAACCATTTAAGTCTCTACTGAGCTGCTTTCCAAAATATTTTCCAAGCTAAAACTGTGCAACTCCGAGTTAATAAATACCCTTTACAGCATAAGGCAGGCTCCTCTCAGTTTAAGGAAAAAAACCCCACTCTTTTAGACCAAAGCAAGTCCTAGCACCAGTGCCCAGGCAGCTTACAGGGCTGGCAGGTTTGTTCTCCACCTGGCTGAGCTCATGAAGTTGGTTTCAATCACAAAGGCTATAGCAAAGTCTCCCTTTAATGAGATCTCACAGACCAAATTAATGTAAAGCCCCCATTTTAGCCTGGAAACTACAATTACGCTCAGTCAAGCAAACATGACTGGGAAATTAGAAGCTATGTCTTAGCTGATACCATAATCAGGCAAGAGGAGAGCTCCAACGACCCTAAAAAAAGCTCAGCAGCTGCTGCTTTTAAAGGAAGCCCAGACAAATTGAAGTTTGCTGCAGCGGGGCAGAAGCCCTGGCGCCCGGGCACCCGGCTGCCCTGCAGTGCACGTGTTTCCTTCTCAGAGCTTTTATGAGCAGAGCACCCCGTGTGCTGAGCACATCAGCAAAGACCCTGTGAAACAGCCAGGCTGCTCCTCAGCTACACTGCAGGTCGGTTCTGCCACAAATACGTTTATTTGAATCCACACCTGGAACTTTTTTACATGACAGCCATTTAAGAGCGAGGCAATCTTTCAAGAATTAAGAGCTACTCCTTAAGCCATTCTGGGATCTTGCTGGTTTTCTTTTAACAACATGTTTTAGGGAAGGAGAGTCTCGTGCTGCTCTGTGGATGAGCACCGATATAGCAAACAGGGAAAACAGCCCTTCTTCCAGTGCTATCCGTGACAAAACATGCAGGGAGCCTCCGTACGCGTTTCCATTGTACCAGCTTTGCTGGGAAAACACAGTTATTAAACATATGACTCCCAAGTGTTTTTAAAAAGGTGTAACACGCCCACACATTACACACCAGACACAGAGCCACCCCTTGCTTGTTCACTTTGCAAGTATGTGACTCAGTCCCTGTTTGAGTCCACAGCAAAACATTTTTGCATTCATCCCAGCAAGAAAACGTGATCTCAGCTGCCCTGTTTGCTGTAATATTGACCTCCAAAGCTGTTAATAAAACAAGGGAAATGAAAGCACCTTGCTGGCACTATTAAGAATAGCAAGACTTAAAAAAAAAAAAAAAAAAATGAACTTGTACCTTAAGAAACTCTGTAATGCAGTCTGTCAGCTGCTTGTGTCCTTGGATATTTAACTCCAGCTCATAAAATTTGGACACGAGTTTGGACTCCCTGCCACACTGGTTGCAGCTGGAAGGAAAGAAAAAAAAATGCACAAGATCAGTTCAGCTAGTTAATGTTTCCTAACTCCCCGCTTGCCAATAAACTAACACCTAAGCTATAAAACCACGAGGAAAAGGCTTGTTTAAGTCAGACCTAATATGCCTGTATACCACAACCACCCTGCAGCATGGTGTAAACAGGATAATAACATTGACCAGGATAAATAGAAATGCCTGTTTACCACTCATACGTAACATTTTATAACTTCTCCTGGAGAAATTCAAAGCTCTGAACTCAGGGTGAAATGGGTACTGTGACATCCAAGTACCGTAACTTCTGCCTCTAGGACTTTATATTCCATTAACTCACTGAGATTTTCCTTAGTAAATTTTTATGCATAGACTAAAAGCATCTGGCAAACTGCAGCAACATACGCACGGGACTGAATTTCAAGGAAAAGCCAAATGCAAAAAACAAAACACTGGGAAGCCCTATTTGTCACACAGCATTTCAGAAGTTTACCTGCCTTCTACAGCTGTTATGAGGAATCTTCTCTGCTCAAATTCTTCCCAGATGTTTAAATATTTACACTAAGATTCTTCCCAAAGACCAAATACTTACACTGTGACATATGCATATTCTCCACAGAACTGCTTTTGCACTATGTTTCGAACATCTGGATTTTTTTGTTTGGATAAAGTATCTTCTAGGAGGGACATGAACAGCTTTGAAAACTCTTGGGCATCCTAGAACAGAAAAGCAGGTTTGTTAACAAAACACTGCAGGCAAGGCACAATCACAACCTTGGTGCTAATTTACTGCAAATTACCCCGGTCCTATGGACAGGCCCCACAGAAACTTCAGCGTGTGCTGAATAGAAAAAGACTGCTCTGGTCCTTGGGAGAACTAAAGAAAAGAGGAATTTGCCTAAAAGGAGCACGAGGCCCCCAGCGTGAGACTGCAGCGTGAGTTAAGTTGGCTCCTGGCCAATAGCTCAGGGTGGTTTGACTTCTGCCCTGCTATTTGCAGGATCCTGAGGAGGAGGGAAAACAAAACAAAACAAAAGTCCCCAGCAGCTTGTTAACCACATAAATCCCTTCGTGACTCCACCTTGCAGATCGGCACCTGCTTCTGCTGCCCAGGAGCAGCAGCACCAACAGCTTCTCACCCTCATTTGACTACGGCTGTGGACAACAAGTTCAGAATCTCTTTAATTTATCAGGAATATGAATTAATAGGAATTTATAACAGGAATTTAAAAAGGAATTTAATAATTCCCAATTCCTTAATAGGAATAATTCACGGAGTATTTATTCTCCCCTACCACAGCAGGGTTTGGCAGGAGGGTGAGGGTGTCTGTCCCACCTCTTTATCCCCATTTGTCCAAGCCTCAGTGCTCAACACAAGCTATTCCTCTGGGAATGGGGTCTTGGCCACGCCAGAGGGCCAGCAGGTAAGTGGAGACGGGCCGAGCTCACCAGGCTCCACCAACCCACACCAGCAATAGCTCCACCAACGTGGACATCATCCCTGCTGCAAAGTTCACTCTCCCCCTCAGATTCCTCCAAAGAAACAACCTGAGAAGCTGCCCCGGAGCTTTAACATCTTTCTACTCCTGCACCATTCAGGAGCTTCTCCACACTCGTCTCGGGGCCTCTGTTTCTTCCTAGCACCCAGTTTTCTTTCCCGTCTTCCCCACTCTCATTTTCCTTTGGCTCTCTCCTTTTAACACGAACTCTCTCCCACTCATCCCACCCTTGGCACCTGCTGCCTCTCCAAACTCCAGCCTTTCCAAGCCTGCAGGTCTCCTCTCGGCTTCCCACAGCTGTTCCCACCCCACACAGCGCGTTCCTCTCCTTAGACATCACCAGTCCTTAATGACCATCTCCTTCCCAGGGACTCAGCAGTGACATCTCAGAAAGAGCCATCTTTTACCTAGACCATCCTCGGCTTTCAGGGCAGCCCTGCAGGTTCCATCTCTGCCCTTCTTGCCTCAAAACCCCCAAACCACCCTCAGCCCCCGCCAGCTACAAGCCACAAAGCATCTCCCATTGCCCCCTGGGACCCAAGCAGTGTCCCATGAACCACCTTCACCAGGGCAGCTCTTGGTGCCAAAGTTAATCACTCGCTAACGCCCCGGCCCCTTTCAGCTGCCCTTATGCAGGACAGGAAGGGCCTGGAGGCTCCTGCTCCCTTTGTGTTCCCACAAATGAGGCTGAGCAAGAGATGGTCACTTGGAGACGGTGGAATAAGAGAAAAGAGCAGCTTCACGCTTCTTTAAGGGAGGTAACGACTCGTCCCTAGGCAAAGGCAGCTAGAAAAGAGGGCGCATCCGGAGGGAAGCGCGTGGAGCCGGCTCCGACCTACCTGCTGCTGCCCGGTATCCAGGCCCAGCGCTTTCACAAACCCAGAGGGATCGATGTATCTCCTTTTGCTGTTCTGCAGCAAGGCAAACAAGTACTGGAGGTGCTCACAGATGGTCTGAGGCTCATAATCTAGCACAAAACGAGTTTTGCACAAGTTAGTAGGGAGTTACGTGGTCTCCTTTCAAGGTAAAACCATTCAGTTAATTCACTTGCTTATGCGTTTAAGCTTAATGTTTAGAAACTCTTTTTAAATAGGTATTTTTAACTACCATGAGACAGTAAGCAGTTCTGGTTGTGCCAGCTAGATCACAGCTCAGGCCAAATATCCCACAGGGCCTGGCACGAGCTGCTAGTGAACAGTTTAAGCGCTGATTGCCACGAGGCAACAGCTCCGCGTTTAAACCAAACGGCTGTTCACAAAATATAGTAAAAACAGGAGTGGAAAGAAAACAGGTAGCTGCACTAGCTTGAGGTTAACACAGTATACAGTGAAAAAGAAAATACCTCACCAAGCCCCTCACCAGGTCTGCTGGGCTGGCATCTAAAGTCTCGTGCCCACAAGATACCTATATACTTGTCCTCTCATGGGACAAGCTGCAGTTCCATGGTGACAAAAACTACCCCCTTGCTCGGCCCACTATTACCATTAAGCATCCTGGCAAAGAAAGGGAGCCCTAAAAGAAGTTTCCAACCAGATCAACTCACTGTGATTTAAAAATAACTCGCAGAAAGAGCAGCTTGGGGTGGCTTGCTCCTAAAAAAGCTAGGTCAAGTCCTTAGAGAGAGCGGCGCGCTCCACAGACGGGGCACATGGGCACTATCCCGCCGTCGGGGTGTCCAACCGAGCCAAAGGGCTCCCGTGTTTCCGCACGGGAAGGTTGTGGGTGGCTGCTGTGACCTTCACTGACCTCTGTCTTTGGGGATGCCCCCGCCAGCTGCGTCCTCGCTGCTGGGGCACAAGTAGAGGGCTTGCCGAAGCTCCAGGTTAAGAAACCACATCTGCAAGAAAGTGTTCACGTAGCACGTGGCTCCGAGGTTCGTTAGGCCCACGAACGCGTTCTAGCACAAAGAGAGAGAAAGCGACACATGTAACGGAGCGACCAGCAGAGGAACCCAGCAGGCAGGTGGCCCTCCTGCCCTGTCACCGGGCCCTGAGCTGCCAGGGGGTGCTAATGCTGAGGGGGGGTCTGTTTAGAGGGATTCGCCCCAGTTTGTGCTCTCTGGACACGGGCAGTGACTGCAGCACCGCCGGGTACTCGAGTGTCTTTTGGGGAAAAAACCTCCTGCTTCCCTGTGGAAGGGACAGGGAACAAACTGGAGGCTGGAAGCTTTCTCCTAGGCTGCTTGTGAGGGAAAGGCTCAGACACCACCCGCACACAAGCAGCAGCACCCAAATCCGCAGCTCCCACCCCATGGGGTGCAGGAGAGCGGACTGGGGCTCCCGCCGGGCTCGGCCTTCCTACGGGAAGCTCCCGAAGCGCCGGGATAGCGGCGGGATGCGGGGCCGGGGCGCTACCTTCTTGCGGCGCTCGCAGTTGGGGTCGTCGATGTTGTGGAAGGTGTTCTCGTCGATCTCGCCCAGCCACGCGTGCTCCCCGATGCCCACCAGGCAGTTGGGGTTCCCCCGGCAGTTCCTCCTGCGGAACCGGCCCAACTGGCACCCGCGCAGGCAGCAACGTCCCGTGCGGGGAGGGAGAGGGTAAAAGAAAAGGGGCCCTAAGAGCAATGGGGAGGGGGGGGTCTCCACAAGCCCAAAGGGGATAGTAGGGGATGGGAAGGTCACCACAAGCCCAAAAGGATGGGGAAAGGTTGAGGAAAAGGGAGCTATAGTGGAAAAAATGGAGGGCATTCAGGATACTGCTTGAGGGACCCTGGCAGGGATGGGGAGAGAAGTGGGGTCCCCACACACCCCCCCATAGAGGGGCTGCATAAAGGAGGTCCCAAAACACTGGGACACCCAGGAGAAACGCTGGGGGCCCCCAGAGGAGGATGTAACCCCCCTCCCCCAGCAGCTGGGACCTGGGGAACAGGAGTGTGGGGAGAGGCCTCTCCCAGACCCCAAAATGGGGGCACAAA